TTCTTCTGATTTGGAAGACATGTCAGTTAATACTTCCTTTTTATTATGTTATTTATTAAGCGTGAAGGAGGGGAAATTAAATATGCAAATGAATGTTATGCATGCAAGTAGACAATTGTAGAATAAAAGAAAATTTTTCATTCATTCATTAGAAGGTGTACATTCCCCTACTCCATGCTACGAAGCAACTTTTGGCAAAAACGGAAAAGCCTAAAGAAACCCACAGGCGGGTCTTGGTCTCTATGTAAATCCCTTTCGGCTTCCCGGACGTGACGAGCAAGTGCTTCGCTTTGCTTTTGGGCTGCCTGGCTCATGTCTTCACTATACTTTTGAGCCTCTTTGATCTTCGCCTCTTGATGGACGACCAAGGCTTGCAGTTCATCGAGCTTTGCGAGTGCTCGGTCCTTTTCTTGTAGTACCTGGCCGTACTGAGCTAGCACGTCTCTTTCCTTGCAGCGTAGCTCAGTGAGACCTTTGTTGAGTCTCCGATTGGCCTCCCGCTCTTGGCGTATGTCTGACCGAGTCTTGGTGAGTTCTTGCAACAACTCCTTGATCGTCTGAGCCTGTTTTGCTGATTCGGCCTCAAGGCGTGCTGTTTTGGCAGTGATTTTTTGAAGTTGGCTATCCGAGCCGGTTCTAGCGACTTTGGATGCTCGGATAGCTTGCTCGTTAGAGTCAGCACACTGGTTCTTGAGGCGTTCTATTTCATGATCCTTTTTCTTGCATTGCCTTTGCAGACCATTTATGGTGAGGATAGATTCTTGTTCTTTTTCCTCAAGGGCCCTCATCTGGGCTCCCATGATTTCTACCCTCTGGGTCAAGGCATTGACTTGAGCCTGCAGCTCTTCACTATTGGCGCTTGTAATGAGTGTGGTGGATGGTTGAGACATCCCTCTTCTTTGCCTCCACACCTCGTAGTCACTGGAGACGGTCACTCGAGCTTTTCCTAGCTCTCTATCTCCCATATAGACTGGTTTCTCCCATGCTCTTCTTACAGCTAGTGAGTTGGCGATCGTGCATGGGTCTCCGAAGAAACACAATCCTCCGAGTTCCCCCCGAGAGATGGTAGTTTGAGTCATCATGAGCTGTCTCATAGCTACTCTAGGTGAGTAGGCTATGCAACCCCTGAGTCCTATCAAGGGTACGTTCGGGTAGTCTCCACATCTGATGAGAACTGGGCCAGGTCGGAACCAAGGGCAGACCCAAGATAAACTGTTGGCGTCCTTTTGTTCCAACTCGTCCCTCCATTCTGAAGTTAAGCGTCGTTGGAGAGGGATTTTGGAGAAGCTCCTTAATGAAAGAATTAATGGTTGAGTTCAAGAGGGGGGGTGAATTGAACTTTAAAACTTTTTCGCAAAACTTACTTTCTTTTGGAAGAATGAGTTATCTTTATTCAATCTTTGCGAAGGTAATTTGGTTTAAACACAGCAAGTTTATAGACAGAAAATAAAAGAGATGAAAGAAGAATTTTAACACACAAATTTATACTGGTTCACTCTAATCCAGAGCTATATCCAGTTCTTGACAAACCAGTCAAGTTCCACTAATACCAAGTAAAAATTACAACCAGTAGATACTCACCAATCTACCCCAAGAACTATCTTGCAAACCCACAAGATAGAATCTTGAAAACCACCCAGTAACCAAATTCAGTTATTGTACCAAGTGCAGATCACAATCCAACCTGCACAATCACACTTTAACAAAAGAGTATGGAAAGAAAAAACCTGGACTTGAAGTTCTAATTGTCCAGAACAAATTCTAACAGCACTTTCTCTCTTTGATTGACCACAATTCTGATCACAACACCTTATGATATGAAAAGATTCTTGAATGCAGAGAAAGTCACGTATATGAAAGTTTCACAGATTGATTTCACAAGTTTTCTCAAGTAGTGTGTTGTATATATTTCAAAAGATATATCAATTCTGTATATATAGAGTAAAACATAGAATCAGAACGTTTCATCTGTAAAAAAACTGTTTCAGAGAGTCACAAGATCGATTAGTTTGAAGTATAACAGAGTTAGAAGAGACTCGATCGATTAGAACTGAAGTATGATCGATCAGACCGAGTTATGATCGATCAGAATGAAACTATGATCAATCGGAATACATTTCAATCGATTAAAACATCGATTCAATCGATTGATTTCATTTAAAGCTCCATTCAATCGATTGATTCGAGTTTTTAATGGATTGAAACAGACTTTATGAAAAATGATAGACTCTCTCGTTTCAATCGATTGAAAATTATTTCAACAGATTGAAATCCTGCAAACACTTAGTTAATAAAATAGCCTCTCTGTTTTAACAGATTAAAAATTATTTCAACAGATTGATTTTCTGAAAAACTCTTAGACTGAAAAATAGTCTTTCTGTTTCAACAGATAAAAAATCATTTCAACAGATTGAAAATGTGAAACTTGATATTGAAAAAATTCATTGAGTTATTTTAACTTGTTGATTCCGCGAATCAATCAATTGAAAATATGATTATGTATGACCACTTATTATGTTGAGTGATTTTAACAGATTGAAAATCCTTTTCAACAGATTGAAAAACTTAGTTTGTTCTTTTAATACTTAGATGTTAGTTTTTCATGCAGAAAAATGATTTTCAATGGGATGCAACATTATAAGGCGCTTATCACAAAATATAATGGACTATCAAGAGATTAAGTGCTTAAACTAAAAACCTAATCATCTACACACCCACAACCTAAGTTATATCTATGTCTTCATCAAAATCCACCAAGTGCTTCACTTAAAGGATCGGGGAATATCCCCATGTGACTGGAGACCTAAAGGTGCGTAGTGCTCCACACGAATAACAGTGAAGAGCAGCAGCGGAGTGTTTTTCCTTGCTTCTGGCGGCAGAATTCCACCGAGAGCAAGGTGTCGGCAAGAATGGCAGGAAAGGGACTCTTCGAGTTCACGTCCCAGGCGAAGAAGGCGTCCATGATGGCTTAATCCACTGTGTCAAGGTGGAAGGGAAACAGGATAGTTCCAAAGATGATTAAGGCCAGGTTTTTGTTGAAGGCGACCCACTCTGTCCTTTCTGCCAAGTCAGACAGATGGTCTTCTAGCATCGAGACTTTCCAACCCTGGATGTTCCCTTTTCCTATCAGGGTAGTCTGCCGGAAGGGTAGTTGAATGATGACAGCGACTTGTGCTGCAGGAGTATATGTCCCGTGGCGGATATGGACCCCAGCTGATTTGAGTCATTTCAACATAATCTCATACTCCTCTAAGGTAGGCACCATATCGAACTGCGGGAATTCGAAGCATCGCAGACTGGAGTTCCAAAAGTGAATTAATACCCTGAGGAACACCTGATCGACACAAATCTTTAACAGGTCGAGAATCCGTCCATAAGAGTTTTCAAAGTCGACGCGGACCTCTGGTGGCATTACCGCGCAAAGCCATTCCAACTTCTCAGTATGATATCGGGGAATATCCACCTTCTTCAATTGTCTACTAGTCCCCTCCATATTTCTAAAACCAAAATGCATGTTTTATAAAAAAATGATGCTTATTTGAATGAATGTGAGTGTTTATTTTCTGTTTATCCTATTTTGTATGATATTTATTTTTTCGAAAAATAAACTACCTATATGAATGATTTGGGATGTTTATGAATCAGGTCCCATTTATTGTTTTGGAAACGGATTTTATTTAGTATTTTATTTTTATTTATTTGTTTATTTTATGGCCTTTTATCTCTTCTGTCAGAACTGCGTGGCTACTTAGCTTGCAAAAACCTGAAACCAGGCTAGCTAAAAGGCAGACTGTCCGAGATAGGGGTGTTTATTGTAAAAGTATTTTTTTGTGATTTTTCTTCTGTTGTTTGGTTATGCTATGCAACAGACAAATACAACAAACATATGCACACACAATTCGATCATCCACGAACAGGCGAGAATTCATTTTTATCAAGAGGTACGGTTTTCCTGCAGAAAAGTGCATTGGCAAAGGTGGGTTCTAACTGTTCTCACCAAGGCTAAGGCCCCCAAGGTGCCCCCATTATAGGGTCCCCACTCTCCAGCCTTCCGACCATGCTTAGCACTAAGGCCATAGTCAGTCTTTGTGCCAAAAGAGGAAGGTTATCACCTTGAGTGGTAGTTTCCGATCTCACCGGTGGGCACAAGGTCATCACTACAACGAACCGTACCTGCCACCCACTCCCTATGGATTTCTCACTTGCCCCCGGGTATATAGGGAACTGTTGTGTGCAAGGGTTTGTGTACAGTTTGTATTTCAAACAATTGCGTAAGTATAAACAAACAACAGTTATTAAAGCCAAACAATAAAACATGTTATAATACAAGGTAGGGCAAAAACATTATTTTCTTGGTTTATTTACTTTTAAGCTGGCCCATCACTAAATGGGATCAACTCTCTAGGCTTCCCCAATGGATTCGCCATCTGTCGCCGCTGTCAAAATGAGGGCGGTCGGAGCGACGTGATGGTTTTCGACTCTCTTATTTTCCGCGTTTTTTATTGGTGGTTACAACGCCTTTAGGTTGTCCGATAACCAGGCTGAACCTAGGGGCGAGGTTTTCGAAAGAGTGCTATTGGATTGTCCGATAACCGGGCTAATCCAAGAGCTAGTTTTTTAGGGTTCTCTGGAGTCGCCACCGATGTTTTTACCGGAAACATCGGAAAAGGAGTTTAAAAGGCGTTGGTTTTCGAAAAACCAACTTTGGTCGTTAGAACCAGAGTTGGGTAAGGGAGTTAGTTACACGTAAAGGAAGTGTTAGTTCCTTTACGACGCCCCTTTCGGGTTCCCTATGATAGGCTAACTATTCTGTTAATAAATAAACCGGAAAAATACGCTTTTGCCCCTTTTATTTTGCGGAATTTAAAGATTATGACTACATGGCCCTAATGTCTATTGCGTAATTTAAATAATGTGATAAAAGATAGAGAGAGAAAGTAGGAACCTCCAGAGCTAGCTTTCTATTAATTTTTGTAAATAGGGTGCTTTGCGGCAGCCCTTCATTCTACACGGCGTCGGAAAAACCTCTCGAAACGCTCTAAAAACACTCTAAAGACACTCAGAAGCTCCGGAAATGCGTCGGAGGGATTCTAGAGAGAGAAACTATTGATGTGACTAGAGAGAGTGAGAAAGCTGTGTGAAATGAGGGGAAGGGAGGCCCTATTTATAGGGATTCGCGCTTGTCAGGTCGAGACGGTCGTCTCGCCTTGCAGGAATGGCGAGACGGCCGTCTCACCAAATGAGACGGCGGTCTCGCCATTCGCAGGTGGCGAGACGGCGATCTCGCCAAACGAGACGGCGGTCTCGCCACTTGCGCAAGGCGAGACGGCGGTCTCGAATCTGAGACGGCGGTCTCAACCCCAAAAGGCTAAAATCCTTATTTTTGTGCCAAAAATCCCTCCTATCCTAGTATGGGGCCTAATAGTCTCTCCTAGTGGCTTCTTAGGCTTTGCCCATCTTCGAAAAGGAGGTCTTCTGATCTTTATTGTGAGACCGGGCAAGATTTGGGGTCTACAGTACAGTTATGGAGTCTCCCTCTCTTCTTCATGCTCAGTTAGGTCATCCAAGTCTTGCCAAGCTACAGAAACTTGTCCCTGCCTTGTCCAACTTATCTAGTTTGGCGTGTGAGTCATGTCAATTAGGCAAGCATAGTCGTACTTCCTTTTCTCGTAGTTTCACACGTGGTGCTTCGTTCCCTTTTGCCGTGGTTCACTCTGACATTTGGGGACCTAGCCGCGTTAAGTCTACTTTAGGTTTTCAATACTTTTTTACTTTCATTGATGATTATTCCAGATGCATTTGGTTATTTTTGATGAAAAATTGTTCTGAATTATTTCATATCTTTCAAACTTTTTTTAATGAAATTCAAACTCAGTTCGGTGTTTCTATTAGAGTTTTGCGTAGTGATAATGACCGTAAATATCTTTCTCATTCTTTTAAACAATTCATGGCTTCTCACGGTATTTTGCATCAAACTTCTTGTGCTTATACACCTCAACAAAATGGTATAGTTGAACGTAAAAATAGACATCTTATTGAAACAACTCGCACACTTTTAATTCATGGAGATGTTCCTTAACATTTTTGGGGTGATGCTCTTCTTACTGCATGTTTTCTCATTAATTGCATGCCTTCTTCGGTTTTAGATAATAAAATACCTCATTCCATTTTATTCCCTCATGAACCACTTCATCCTTTACCTCTGAGAGTTTTCGGGTCTGCATGTTTTGTTCATAATTTCAGTTCTGGTCTTGACAAGCTTTCTCCTAGATCACATAAATGTGTTTTCTTAGGGTTTACAAGATGACAAAAATGATACAAATGTTTTTCTCCTTCTCTTAACCGTTATTTTGTGTCAAAAGATGTCACCTTTGATGAGTTGTCTCTTTATTTTAAAAGTCAATCTTCACCTCTGTCTCCATCCAATCTTGTCAATACTCCTAATACATTTAATGTTCCTATTGTTTGTGACCCTCTAACTGTGTCTTCTTCACCATTAGTTCCTGCTCCGCATTCAACTTCTTCTCCACTGCCTCTTTAGATTTATAGTTCTCGAAACCAATCACAACCACCACCATATGACTTTACTCAAGTACCAACTACTCTGTCTCCTCCGGATCTGACACATGAGTCTGACCTTCCTATTGCCCTCCGAAAAGGTATTCGTTCTACACGTAATCCCTCTCCCCATTATATTGTTTTGAGTTATCATTGACTGTCATTACCTTTTTATACATGTCTTTCCTCTATTTCTTCTGTGACCATTCCAAAAACTGTCCGTGAAGCTTTAGCCCATCCTGGTTGGCGTCAGGCCATGTTAGATGAACTAAGTGCTCTTCATAATAGTGGAACTTGGGAATTGGCCCCGTTATTGTCTGAGAAATCTGTTGTTGGTTGCAGGTGGGTGTTTGCTATCAAAGTTGGACCTGATGGTACTATTGATCGCCTCAAAGCTCGTCTTGTGGCCAAATGTTATACTCAAATTTTTGGGTTGGATTATGGAGATACCTTTTCCCCTGTGGCAAAGATGGCTTTTGTTCGTTTATTTATCGCCATGGCTGCTCTTCAACAATGACCTCTTTATCAACTGGATGTTAAAAATGTTTTCCTCAATGATGATTTGCAAGAAGAAATATATATGGAGCAACCCCCTGGGTTTGTTGCTCAGGGGGAGTCTTCTGGGATGGTATGTCGTCTTTGCAAATCCCTATATGGCCTAAAATAGTCTCCTAGGGCTTGGTTTGGAAAGTTTAGCAAGGTTGTTCAACAATTTGGTATGACTCGGTGTGAATCATATTATTCTGTCTTTTATCGATACTCGAGTGCTGGATGTGTTTACTTGACAGTATATGTTGATGACATCGTTCTTACAGGTAGTGACAACCATGATATCTCTCAGTTGAAACAACAGCTCTGTCACCATTTTCAGACCAAAGATCTTGGCAAACTTAGATATTTCTTGGGTATTGAGGTGACATAGTCCAATGATGGTATTGTATATTTCAGAGGAAGTATGTCATAGATATTTTGGAGGAAACTGGGTTGATGAGTTCAAAGTCTGTTGATACACCCATGGATCCCAATACTAAACTTCTACCAAATCAAGGGGAGCCTATATCTGATCCTGAGCAGTATAGAAGGTTGGTTGGAAAATTGAATTATCTTACAGTTACTCGTCCTGACATTTCCTTTGCAGTCAGTGTGGTAAGTCAATTTCTTAATTCACCATGTGAAGATCATTGGAATGCAGTCATTCGTATCTTGAAGTATATTAAAGGATCTCCTGGAAAAGGATTGTTATATGGTTCTAATAACCATACAAGAGTTGTTTGCTACTCAGATGCTGATTGGGCAGGATCTCCTTCGGATAGAAGATCTACATCTGGATATTGTGTCTCCATTGTGGTAACTTGATCTCATGGAAAAGTAAGAAACAAAGTGTTGTGGCAAAATCTAGTGCAGAAGCAGAATATAGAGCTATGACCTCATCTTCCTATGAACTTGTTTGACTCAAGCAATTGCTTAAAGAGTTACAATTTGGAGATGTCACTCAAATGACACTTGTGTGTGACAATCAGACTGCTCTTCATATTAGTTCTAATCCTGTCTTTCATGAGAGGACCAAACACATTGACATTGACTGTCATTTTATTCGAGAAAAGATTATGTCTGGAGATATCAAGACTCATTTTGTTAACTCAAGTGATCAATTAGCGGATATTTTTACTAAATCTTTACGGGGTCTTAGAATTGATTATATTTGTAACAAGCTTAACACATACGATTTGTATGCTCCAGCTTGAGGGGAAATGTTAGATATTGTTTAGATATTATTTGATATTGTTAGATATTGGTAACCACAATATCAAACAATATCTCCTGTTTATTCTGTTACTTTCAGTTACTCTTTTAGTTGTATCTCTCTACTATAAATAAACTACCCTATGTGTGATTTATACATAAGAGAGATTAATTTCAAACTTTATTTCCTCTATATTCAACATTTACAATAAATAAATACGTTTTCATTTATACTATAATTAAAATTTATTAATTAATAATTATTTTTAAACGTATAGAAACTATTTTCAATCTCTAACACCCCTCTCATCTGCTTTTTTTTTTATATATTTTTATTGGACGAAGTATATAGAACGAAGCCCATAAAACTTCTTTCCTTTGCGCTGACAGTGTTAGACATATAATGGGCCTATGCACAGATAAACGGATTCAGCCCGAACCAATTGGTCCAAGTAAATTTCTACTTGAACTCATTTTGATACCCTATCGCCTATATCCAACTCATTAATTTATTTTATTGATATTCATTTATCATTGGTAGATATAATATCCATAAAAACTATTGTTTTTGCAACACTTTATATAATGTGAAAAACCAATATTCCTCCACCAACTTGAATGGAGGGACTCAACGCATCACCAAAGTAATATTTTTAAAATTATAAATTTGAATCATATAACACAATTAACATCACTTTCATCCCGATAATTTGCAGAAGGTGGAAATAGTAATGTTTGTACAAGATCATCAACTGCAAGCATGTTTTGATCATCTCCATGCTGATAAATAATCTGAGAAGTTCTAGCCATGTTGAGAGAAGCCTTCACAACAGAAGAAGGTAGAGTGGTTGTGGTCATAGCAAGACCATTCATCTCTGGCCATAAGTTCCATATGAGTTGCCTTATATGTTTTCTTGCAACATTTTCATCTAAAATTTCATTTTCTGTCATGAGACATTGTATGCTGCAAGCATTATCACCTCTTTCTTGTTCATCCTGAAAATGCATATATCAGCTTCTCATCCCACTATCCAGTTCCATGTTCTAATATAACAGTAATCTAATAAAAATATTTAGCATAATCATAATTAAAATGTTTAGGAACTATAGTACTTTTGTAATCAAGTCAATTAATCAACTATTACCTCGAGAAAATAAATGTATCAACGTAGAGTGAGTTACCTTTGAGGTTCCCAAGTCATCCCAAAGCCTAAGAATTTCCCCAGAACAAGTGAAGAGGCTTGGATATGGACTCATCATGGAAATGGTTTCTTTTGAGAGGTTATCCCCAATGAGGACAGTGGCATGTACTAAGGCCAAGTATGATCCTGAAGAAATCACCCCATTATCCAAATATTCTCGAAAAGAAGGCACATATTCGTTGCTGAACCATTTGGCTTCTTTTAGATAAGCTTCTAATAAGTCTACCCACTGCAACAATTAAGCACCATTCTCTCATTAACCTCATACTCTTCCCAATTGTTTCATCAATATTTCAATTTAAAAAGATTCTGATATTCTTACTGTTCTTTTCAAACAAGCAACAACACTTTGTCCATGGTCTTTCTGAATTCTGTATGCAATTTCATGGGTAGTGTTATACAAGGCCATATAACATACCTTCATATATTCAGGTAGTTCTTCCATTGCATCAATATCCCATCTGTAAACAACGAAAGTTTCATATTTTGGTCATTGATTTGGCGACTTGAGTTTAATTCAAAGATATTCAAGGTGCAAACCTTTTTACTGCCTCAGTGAAAAGAATAAGTTCATCTAATGTTCCATACGTGTCGAACATATCATCTATAACTTGCAAAATGCAAATAGCTTTTGCAAGTTCAATACGACAATGTGAATAACGTGGTTCTGGAAAAACTCCCAACATCCATAGGAAACACTCTCTTGGTCCGTCTCTTCCAAAACCAAGTCTTTCGATAAGTCCTAAACTTTTCCACCACCTAATCAAATCAAAGAAACAGTCTTATTTTGCATAATTTAAAGCATGTGTGTTTTTCATACAACAAAAAAGTTAAAAATGGTAAGAATAAAAGTGAGAAATCATAACTTTCAAAATTAAAATTACAATTGATTCTTTTGTAGTTTTAACTCACGTTTGTGCTCGTTCAGCATAAATTTATCACCACTTCAAAATTTAGAAACTTTTTGTCATTATCATTATGTGGGAAGCAAAATTACCTTGAGATCTCAGCTAACTCTTTTTGGTGCATAGACTGAACCATGTCATAGTCTAACCTTGCCAATTCTACAAGAGCTGGAATTTGGGTGCTTTCTTGACTATATTGTACCATGTAATTTTTTGCTTCCAACCTGTTCATTCTTAAATGTCTTGGAAGTGATAACGCGTCAACAACTACACTTCTTACTTCAGGACTTAGGTGTGGTAGTGACTGGTGCAGATGAGTCCTTGAGAAATCCATGGCATGTTGTAGTACATATTCTCCTTCTGCACCTAAATATGATGCCTCATACAAACTTAGCATGCCCCAAATGTCTCCGGTGACTGATTCCTTGAAATTCCCACTTTTGTCCAAAAAGTTATTGAAAACATCTGTGCATTCAATAAGCAATACACATGATCAAATTAGCATGTTTGTGTACCAAAATTTAGGTAGCTAGGTGTTGATGAAAGCCAAAATAACAATATGATCCTGGGAAATATAATGTTTATTTAAATTGCTGATAAGTGTACCCGAACTTGTAGACCAGCCATTATGTCTTAGCAAGCGAAATTGAAGAGCTGTGGCACAGAGGTCTTGAGGAATGTTACAATCTCCTAATCTTCCAAGTTGTAAATTGATCTCTTCTTCGAGATGGTGATCAATTCCTAGCCTCTGTATGGTGTCAATCAACTTCAATGTCCTCAATGAATCACTTGAGTTTAGCAACACCCCCTGGCTCCTTACTTTAAGTTGCTCCAAACTTTTCATCATAAGATTTGTTTGACTATGGACCTGTTATGTTACCAACACCGTCAGGAAAATTATTTCATTGTGTTCTTAAAAATACTTGCAGCATATATTTTTGTTTTCCCACATTTATAATACTTTTTGTTGTTTTTTATGGATATTTTAATTGTTAATACAAATAAAAAGGAAAACAAATAATGGCACGGTAATCTTTTATAAGCAATAAATTAAAAATTATATTGTACATTTTTTAGTAGAATTTTTGTTTAATTAGATGCATGACACCATCATTCTCTCTCTATATTAGTTAAAACAATTGTGTAACTAATAAGAGCAAGGTGAAAGAAAAAAGAAGAAGAAGAACTTATCATGTAAAAGAAAACAAAACAAATAAGGTAAAAAAAATATTTATGGTCAAATATATATATATATATATATTATTTTAAATTTTACATGTTAGATATATTTATACTTAACAATTTATATTTATAATTTTTTTTAAATAATATTAAAGTAAGTTTAATATTAAAATTTTATATGTTATATAATTTTAGTTTTTTTTTATAAAATTTTAAAATTTGAATCTTCGAGTTTTATTTAAGTTAAAGTTAATAAATTTTGGTGTTCAAAACAAACTTTTTATCATGACTTGTAGGTAAACTAAATGGCCTAATTTAATTTATATTTTACAATGGGTTATAATTTTTTTATCTAGATATTATAAATGTCATGACTTAAATGATCAGATAAAATGGACTTATTTAATTATAAATTTATAATAAAATATTTTGATATATAAAAAATTTACATTTAAATTATAATATAGAGGAATAATATATTAATACAAAATTAAATTGTCATTGATATAAAGAGATAATAAATTATAAAATTAATGAAAAATAAGATGTTATAATATATAAAATTATTCGCATTTAAATACTAGACTAATATTTATTTTAACAAAAATAAATTATGAGTACCAAATTTATTTAAAAATAAAAACCATTAATTTTATATAATAATTTTTTTACTGGTTGTTTATAATAGATAAATTACAATTATCTGCAACATATTTTTAAAATCTAACCTTTTAATATAAATTTGCATAAATAAATACGATAGTATCGTACAACAATTATTTGAAAAAAAAAACTGTGGAAAGCGTAAACAAAAAAACACAGGGGATGAATAAGTCACATTCACGAAAAGAATGTCCCCACTTTAAAAATAGACACGCTTTTAAGATATACAGAAGTGTTGTCATTTTTTAGATTAGGTATAGATAAATCTTTTCATAAATACTTTTTAAAAATAAAAAAAATTCAATTGAAATTGCTTTATATGTAAATTAATGTAAAAAAATTTCTACAAATATTACCTTATTTTTTTAATTGAATAAGTAAAAAAACTTATAATAAAAATCACCTAAACATGTTATGAATTTAAAAATGAATGAAAGTACATGAACAGTAATATCAATAATTTAATAAAAAAAATTATTTTGACACCGAAATCATGTTCCCATTTGACCATCTAGGTTAAAATTGCAATTAATTAAAAATGAGGGAGTAATTTGTAATTTACAAAGCTGATAAATGTAAATTAGAAATAGGTTGGAAGGACGAAAACGTTAAACGGGAAACATCTTCTTGCTCGATTGAAACCTTCAATTGAAAATATCTATCCCTAATCCTCATAGCAGGAAAAAAAAAAAACACTTGGTATGTGATTATGTGGGAGTGACAAGGGAGAGAAACTGTGATATGAAAGAAAATATTATTTTTTAAAAGAATTGTCTATGTTTAAAGGGATGTGACAATAACGTGCGCATCTTCAACCTCAACTTTCCTACGGATAAGATAGAGAAACCCTTGTTTTTATTTGGTATTTTATTTACCTATCTTATACAAGTGTACCAATCAGGACTCTTTAACCTCAATCTTTTTGGACCCTCTCTTTTTTTGGTATCTTTGTACCTTATGGGTACTTTAAATAGTATTTATCTATCCTAAATTGTTTGTATTTTAAAATATTAAGTTTTCAATAACATAACTAGAAGTGCTTACAGATCCTGTGTCAATAAAAATAACTCCTGATTTCCAACACGCTGGACTGAAGGTCTTGGAGAGTTTTGTGTAGAGGAACAACTATGATTATTGAGAAGGAGAAAACAGTGGTGTAAAGAAGTACGAACCTTTTGAGAGAAGGGGATCGAGTTGATGGATAATTGCATGATGGTAGGTGTTGATGATTGGGAAGATAAGTTCCATGGTTGATTGCGATGACCAAATGAGGATGTGAGAGATGAAAGTCTTGGCTCTGAAACTGCCATGATTGCAATTGCAGACATTCAAGTGTTTGTGGTGATATGATCTGTAAAACACTAGGGCATATGCTTATATAGACCAACTCACTCACTCCAAATGGACTATGTTCTTCCCCCCTCACCAATTTGGAATCATCATTGTTCGGATTAGACACGTGTTTAACTTTGAGCCACCAAAGTATGAAAGGTCGGACCCAATCTTTCTGAAATTGCATATCAGAATTTTTCTGATTGAATATATACAATATTGTATATGTATTAGTTTAAATTGATGTGTGTTATTAAAATTGAGAAACAATTTGATGATTTTTTTTTATACATAATAAAAACATTGATTTTCAATATTTTAGTAATTATTCATGTGATTTTATTATTATTTTCAGCATAAAAAAAGTGTATGAATTATTATAATTTTTTAATATCCATTTTAATTTCTGCTGATAAAAAAAAACACCATTTGTGGGTATCGATGTTTCCTTTGGTGTTGTGTTGTGGAGGACAAACTAGCGCGAAGACACAAATATATCCGTGAAATCCTGATTTCAAACAAGATTCGAATGACTGAAAAGAATTTTTTATTCACATGCGACAAATAAATTTTATTCAAACAAGATATGAACATAAAATTAGTTAAAAAAATGTGTAATTTCAGAAAATCAAAGGTAATATATTAATCCATTTAACTATTTATAATTTTATATTTGTATGCTCTTGATTTTATGAAATTTTTTTAATCCATCTCTACAAACTGCGTTAAATATGACTCCAAACAATGATACTCTTTTATTAAATAAAAATTACAAATAAAAGGAATAAAAATAGAGAGAAATATAAAACATACCCAAACATATAATAAAAAGTATTCACCAGACTTTTTATTTTTTATACCAAATAAACTGAATTAAATTTTATTATACAAATTTATAATTTTTTTTCTATATATGACAGTTTGCAATTAAAAATGGTGTAAAAAAATTACTATCGGCGTTATTCTTTCATATCTTTCAATTCACGTGCTTATTATCATATTCAACTTGATGTCATGGAAGAAGCATTTCACGTGGTGCATGTACTTGTTTAGACAAATCGAGTCAATAATGCACAGACCAACGTCTTTATCCGTATTTGAAAAGTTTATAATTGAAACTAAATGCATCTTTTAAATAATAAAATTTTATTCTAAACCTAATTGATTTAAGTGTATTGTGCACGTATTTTTATTATTTTAATTTATGAATAATTTTATTAATTAAAATTGAAATTTTAAAAAATTGATTAATAATTACTAGTGACTAATAAATGTTTTATTTAAAGATGCAGAAAACATATTTTTGTGATTGGATCATCAACTACTTCGTTGTTGAATGGTAAGATGAACAATTATAATATATGATAAATTATTTTATTTTATTATTTATATTTAGATGAGACATTCATGCCTTGAGATCAATTCCTAGCCTCTGTATGGTGTCAATCAACTTCAATGAATCACTTGGGTTTAGCAATACCTCCTGGCTCCTTATTTTAAGTTGCTCCAAACTTTTCATCATAGGATTCAAGGAAGAAAAAGTGGTAAAAATTCCTAAAAACACCCACATTTAGAATACTTTTTATTGTTTTTATTAAAAAAAAGGCGCAAAATAATATTGTTAATACAAATACAAAGAAAAATAAAAATAAAAGCAATGTAGTATTTGATAAATTATAAATTATTGTATATATCAGAAATGATTCTGGTAGAATTTAGTTTAATTAAAAGCATGACAACTCGTATATATTTTTTGATAAATAATTGTAAAACTAATAGAGCAAGACAAAGGGTAAAACGAGCTTTTACTTATATATGGATGGGAACTTCTCGTCCCCTCTTCATTTCCGCAGTATTTTATCATATGTCTTAATCTGATTTTATATTTGTACAATGTTGTCCAGGAAAATTTTCTAATAAAAAAGTAGGAACCTTTTGAGAGAAAGCAATGGGGTTGAAGGATAAGTGCCTGATGGTTGGTGTTGATGTTTGGGAGGATAAGTAGCATGGTTGATTCATGAATGAGAGCGAATTGCGATGACCAAGTGAGGTTGTAAGCGATGAAGGTCTTGGCTCTGAAACTGCCATGATAACAGTTGAAGATATTGAGGAGTGTTTGTGGTGATATAATCTGTAAAACACTACGGTATTGCCAGTGAGGATGGACCTAAAGAGGTCGAGTACAGTTGTAGAGTTTTTCAGGACATGGACATTGCGGTCCAGGTACAGTACGAAACGATGAATGGCCTGTGTCCAGCAACCATCACATCGGACAAAATTATATTTATTATATTAACATCGGAAAATGTTTATAAATATATAATAAATTATCTTATCATTTATATTTTTCAAGACCTTCTTCTTAAAAAAAAAAAAAAAAAACACTATATGACCTACCCAACCACCGCCATGCCACCGTAGCCACTAGAGATGGAAAACGGGTAAGTTATTCTGGGCTGGTTCGCCAACCTGTCATAATATGACGGGACAGGTTGATGTTTTAGTCTATCAGCTCGCTTTAGCCGTCTCGCCAAACCCGCCAACCCGTCGGTCAATCCATGGGACGGGACAGGATCAGCCAGTGACCCACTAATTAATAAAAAATAATTTTTTATTATAATAAAATTAATTATAAAGATAATATATAAAGTTAAAAATTTTAAAAAGATAATTAAAAAAATTTGACCCTCACAAAAAATATTCTCCTTAATGAAACACAACATTTTCTCTTGTTCTCTTTGTTTATCCTAAGTACTTGATTATTTTTATCCTTATGACTTAAATTAAAAGTGTAAGAATTACTCAACCAAGAATAATGTGAAATTTTATCAAATATAAAAAATATAGATATTTAAATTTTTCAATATAAAAAATATAAATTTTATAAGTTTTAACGTTATATATATATATATATATATATATATATACATATATTTGTTATTATTTATTATTATGTAAATTTTATTATTGTTCTAAATTATAATTTCTTAAAACATTGTATTGATTTATATTATTAAATTGAAATAATATATATATTGAATTATTAACAAACAAATAATAATCTTATTATTAAATTTATTTTAAAAAATAAATTATTTTTTCTAAATTATGACGGGCCAGCTCGCCAACCCGCTCCTTGGCGAGGCGGACCAAGGTCTACAGCCCATCATAACTATATCGGGTCAGCTGCCACGCCGCTTCAGCGGCCAAAGGCAGGCGGACCAAAGCGAGACGGACTGACCCGTTTTGTCATCTCTAGTAGTCACATCCTTTACTATCATACAAATGTTAATTCATGCACTGCTAGATGCTATCAACAATTTTATCAAATCTTTCTTTTCTTCTTTTTACTTTTTAAAGGGAGAAATTTAATATCACATACACTTAAAATTTTAATAACTTTTATAAAGAGAAAAATTTAATATCACATACACTTAAAATTTTAATAAATTTTATCTTGGAATATGTTTGCAAATAAGTAAATCATAATAATTGAGAATAAGATATATTTTTCGATGAATCTCCTAAACACATCAATCCATTAATAAAAACTAATAGGTAATGAATTAATTATATATAATGTTATTCAAATATTTTATGACGTTGATATATAATTATTTAGAAATCTTATTCACTTTAAATACTATCATTGAATTATATGTTTAAAATATAAGATTCATTTATAAAATAATGATGTTTTTAAACCTTTTGTTTTCTACATCTTCCACAAACCAAAACAACATCTCTTCCTTTAAAGTTAATATTTATTTTGGTGGATTTGTCCAATGTGTAACTATCATGAAAAATCCAAATGATTTTGATCTTACTTATACATGTTTTAAACCCTAGAACAATAGTAATAAAACACATATAGTCTTTTGATAAACATTATTCAAGTTCTTGATTATTGAGATCACAAATAAATTATTGAAATCAACTATCATCATCCAATTTAAGTGCGAAATCAAGAGATCATTTACGATTTTGTATAGATTAAAATTGATGTTGTTATTATCCAAATGATCAACTGCTATAAAAAAAAAATATAATATCTACACCTAACGAGTACAACGTGAACATGAGGAAAGATTGAATTGTTTGTTTAAACTAAAACTATATGAAAAGCAATACTTGAGAAAATGATTTGTAACTTAAAAAATAATACATAAACAAACACGAAATAACAAAATTCATATTTGACTTGCCCTTTATACGATAAATATTTCATTATCATTTATTTTGTATTATTTCTAATTTAATTTTAATTTTATATTAACATAATTATTTCAATTATGCACATTTAATATATGATTTTTTAATATTTTATATCATGAATATAAATATCTACAAATATAAATATATATTAATTAAATATAAAAATATATAACTTTATAAATATATAATTATATAAATATGTATTTATTAAATATCTTATTATATAATATTTATTAAATTTATATAAATAAGCATGAATATGATCTTAATGATGTTGATGATCCAACTACTTTTAAAGAGGCTATCTCTAGTTCTCATGGTTCAACTGGTTAAATGCTATGCATGATGAGTTAGCTTCTATGGCCCATAATGGAGTTTGGGATCATGTGGATTTGCCACTCGGTTGCAAACCAGTTGGGTGTAAATGGGTCTTCAAGACTAAGCGTAATCCAGATGGAAAAGTTGAGAGATATAAAGTCAGACTTGTAGCAAAAGGCTATAGTCAGAGGGATGGCATTGATTATAAAGAGACTTTCTCACCGGTCTCTACTAAGGATGTTTTTCGTGTGGTTATGGCTTTAGTAGCTCATTTTGATTTGGAGCTTCATCAAATGGATGTTAAAACAACTTTTCTTAATGGAGATTTATTTGAGGAAGTGTATATGATTCAACCTGATGTTTTGATAAAAAAAAAATGAGCATTTGGTTTGCAAGTTAAAAAAGTCTATTTATGGGTTGAAACAAGCTTCTAGACAATGGTATTTGAAATTTGACCAGGTGGTCACTTCTTTTGATCATCATGAACTTGTTCATCTACTACATGTGATGTAGCATCAACAAAATCTGGAACATAATCATTTTCATCACGGACAACTGAAATCACATTATCTGCATGAAAAAAATGGATGGTACGGGAACAACAACACGGTCTTCTCTAAGAGTGACTGGTTGTGGCGCATTGCTCCCACTGTCTAAATCATCCTTAAAGAATATCGACGGTCAGACTCAATAACCCGGATGGAGTGAGAAGGGTAGTAAAATCTGCTACCATGAGAACCGATATAATAGCCAATAAAGAATCCACTTACAGTCTTAAGATCAAGTTTTTTCAACTGAGGATTATAAGGTCTCACCTCTGCCTTACAACCCCACACATGAAAGTGTCTTAAACTTGGCTTCTTCTCAGTCATAAGCTCCTAAGGAGTCTTTGAAACAGACTTGCTAGGTACTTGATTAAGAATATACACAACAGTCCTTAAAGCGTTTCCCCAAAGGAAATTCGGTAAAGAGGAATGACTCACATACATCTCACCATATCTAGAAGAGTGCGATTCCTCCTTTCTGCAACACCATTTTGCTGAGGAGTACCGGGCATAGTATACTGAGCTTCAATACCACATTCATTAAGAAATCTAACGAAAGGTCCTGGATTTCTTCCAGTCTCATCATATCTGCCATAATACTCTCCACCTCTGTCAGACCTTACACATTTTATCTTCTTTTCAGTTTTCAACTCAATAGCAGCTTTGAAGGACTTAAAAGCATCCAAAGAACTTGACTTTTCTTGTAGGAGATCTATCCATCCAAATCTGTAATAATCGTCTATAAACGTGATAAAATACCTGTATACACCCATGGAAATGGGTGTCATAGGTCCACACATATCAGTATGAATAAGTTGCAACACATCATCACACCTGTTTGCATATGCATTTCTTACTTTTGCAGTAAGCTTGCCCTTAATGCAATCAACACAAGTATCAAAATCAGAAAAATTCAGATAATGCAGAATACCCTCTTTAATCAACCTCTCAATCCGAGGTCTAGAAATATGCCCCAGACGTCTATGCCACAACATAGAGGAATTTTCATCAACTCTACTACGCTTATGTCCAACAATAGAATTAATAGACATGTGATTCAGATTTAACATGTAAAGCCCATCACATAAAACTCCTAAGCCAAAAATAATTGAATTGAAATAAATAGCAAGTTTGCCATTGCCAAATTCAAAAGTGTAGCCACATTTATCCAAAGCTGAAACTGAAATTAAATTCCTTCGCATAGAAGGTACATAAACAACGTCTTTCAATAACAAAACATGTCCAGAAGGTAAATTTAAAGACACTACTCCTATGCCTTCAACTTGTGCTCTAACTCCATCTCCCATGATAATCTTGGATTCAAAGTCACTTGGTTTTCTCAGGCTTGTGAACCCCTGTAAAGAATTCACAACATGAATAGTAGCACCTGAGTCAAACCACCAAGAATTGGGAGGAACATCAACAACATTGGATTCAAAACAAGCTAGAACATACATGTACTTCTTCTTAGGCTCCAAACCCACTGATGCTTTCCCTGTGTTCCTCTTTTCATGGCGAGATTTGCCTTTGAAACCCTTTTTAACAGGTTTAGTACCTGAAGTAATAGTTGTGAATTGCATACTATGCGACTTAGATTTTTTAATAGATTCTTCCTCTTGGGAAATAATAGTTATCATCTCATCAATTGTCCATTCCTCCTTCTGAGCGTTGTAAGAAGTCTTCAACACATCAAACTGAGAAGGAAGTGATTCCATAACCTGCTAGATAAAAAAACTGTCACCAAGCTCCACCTTTAAAGATTTGAGTTTGTTATAATAGTACACAAGCTTCATCATATGCTCACGAACACCACTGACACCATCATATTTTGTCTTCTCAAGAAGTGACAGATATTGACCCTTTTGAGCTTTGTCAAAAGTCTTAAACTTCTCACCCACTGATCTCAGAAAAACCTTAGCATTATCATCATCTGGAATGCTTTGTCGTATAGACTTCTCCATGGTGTATTTCATCACCATCAAACACACCCTGTTTGAGTGTTCCCATTTC